TAGACAAGATAGTTGTATAGTTAAACAAAGGCATCTAATTTAGTTGGATGCAGGTTGAAGCTTGAAACCAAATAACTTTATGAAAATCAGATAATAGACAGGAAAGCATGAAACTTCAGCCGACGTCACTTCCCACTAATACTCTAAGTCAGAGATGACACGGTGAACAGCAGCAAGAAGAAGCCCATAAATCAGGCAGGATGTCGGGACAGCAGGATAACACCGCACGACATAGTCACAAGTATGTTCCAGATTAACCCCTGCCACCACTTCAGTGGATACCTCTGCTTGGATGGAATCACTTGTAGCTGTCTGGCTCTGGGAGCTGGAAGTCATGCTTTAGCTGTAAACACAGACACTAGTCTGTAACGAGGAGGAAGGAGCCCACCGAGTCAAACCACTCTTTGGCCTCTTGAGTCCATAGAACTTATATTCCCGGCACAGGGTTGCAAAATTCTCACATGATGATTTTTTAAACATGTTATTTCTGACCGACTCCTGCATGGCAGGAATACAATCCCATTCAAAGAAGGATGTTCAGAAGATTTATATGCCCCGAAATGAACACTCATCAAATCTCAAGTGTGCGGTTTGTCCAATACAATTTTGTGAAAGAGCTAGACCACATATTGGGACAATACACACATTTCTTAGACGGCCATAAATGAAAAACAAGAAAAAACAGCCACGGAGAAGAGGAAAAAACAATCTTCCTCTGATGCTCCAGGAAACAAACTTTTCTGGTGGTCCTTCACATTAAACTGCCACTAACCCAAAGGCAAACACACAGATACAAACAAGATCTGATTAGGACTGGCACGAGAGTGGATTCCCGTATATGTCTCATCATGTGATCTTTGTTCATTTATTTGTAGAGAGGAATATATTCTCACACTTGGCTGTGTAGAGGAAAGCACTGTAGGGGGATTAAAGGCTCCCTAAGGAGTAGGAAAGAGGAAACAGACAGAGTTCATCATGCTTGGGCAATGGTATAGCTTAAATGAAATCAGATTCCTGCGGTCTCAGAATGCACACATGCCGTAGACACGCACATATACATGAAACACACCCGTACACACACTGTGGGTTTGTGAGAAGAAAGGAAACAAGATCATTTTCCCCAATAGTCTTATAATACAACTTTAAAAATATAAATTATATTTTATTAGATGTAATAGATTTGTTGGCCTCTTTATGCCAACTGAAACCGGCTCTTAACAAAACATTTGCATAGTTTTTCCGTAAAAATGTCAATATATAGATTTTTTTACAATAGCTTGCAGAAACGGAACAACATTTATGATGAGTATTTGGCCACTGATGAGTGCAAATCAATATTCAAATATATTTTAGCTCTGCTTTGGTCTCAACCATTTTCTTAAAGAAATATCATACTCCTTAGCTTCCAAATCTGTTACTGCGCTCCCTAACTTGGCAATAGCTTTGCACATTATGTGAGGCTGCTTCAGGTGGTTCAACAGGTTTTTCTCATACACTGTTCTTATAACTACGTGAAGTAATGCACTGTATATCCTAGGACATTTGCATGTTTTCCATATAATTACCAACCATGAAGTAATAAGAGCAAAGAAGTAGACATAGAGAATGGTCAGGTGGTTGGTGGGTTTTAAAAAAAGGTTTTGACCCGGTAGATCACTGTTAAACTATAAATGATTTATTCTTCACATAACTTCTGTAGTTCGTCCATAGTTATTTCAACTAAACCTACTAAGTGGTTTGGTCGCCTAAACCTAACCAAGTTGTTTAGAAATAACCTTGAGTAAGATTTTCTACGAACCGTATTATAAGGATACTTGAGTATGGTTCGATCCAAACAATAACAAAACAGTCATTTGCACACCGTAAAATCCAAAACAATGAGGGTCTCTTTTGAGCAAATGGCAATCCGATTTAAGATTTCTTTGTTCCACACCAAATACTTGGAAATGTTGGTTTGCTGAAATAACCAAACAATTATGAAATACCTATTTTAGTACTACTGTTTGATAATAAATCTGACTGGATATATTAACTAGTTCACATCTGCAGGCACTAAAGAAAACGTTTACGCTGTTTACGGTGCTTCAAACAAGACTTTGTGATTCTCTAGCACTAAACCAGCAGGTGAATCAGTTCCTGTGGTAAGCTCTTTATCGTTGTGGGAAAGCCTGCACCATTTCTGTGTAGCAAATACCACAACTTCACCAAGTGTGAATTGTAAAGGCCAAACGACAGCCAAGTCAATAGCAAGCAAACTAGGCGCAGAATGAGTGGATCCAGACAGCTTTAGCTTCTTAACCATAAGCTTTCATGTCTCTAAAGTGTGAGACCAAATTGGTAGTTATGAGGTCTGTTAAAATCCTGCTTGAATGAGGAAATACTTCACAGGGAAATTCTGGCAGCAGTGTCTTTTAAGAAGACGATTTACTGCATGTATATGTATATGTTGCATATAAATGAAATCCATTTGAGAGATTTATCACATGTGTTATCAATATTAGATGTTGTTGACAACTGCCTTTATTTATTCAGCCTGCTCTGAAAAGCTTTGCGGCAACTAGGATGTACAACTTTTCTCACTGCCACTGAAGGTTGTTTTGTTAGCAGTTTAATTCAAACAGTGTATGGTAACACATATCATAAATTCTCATCTTGTTTCTATTATTATTTGTCCTTTTTGACTGTCGAACTAAATTACCACAAAATTCTTTGCATTGTTGCGTGCAAAACATTTGCAATAAACGCCCATACTTGTCCATGCTGCACGATAGAGTGAGAAGTGTGATGATTTGATGGACAGATCTGAATGAGTGAGAGTTATTTAGCTTCCTCTACATTTATTAGTCCGCTGGGTGAGCGATGAGTAGCCGCAAGGGTCAAGGGGGGACAAAGAGAGCCACATTTCTTGACATGAAGAGGATCCAACCTTCCTGGGGCTTCACATGACGTGAGAAGGACAGACAGGCACCTGTAGGGAGGAGAAGCTTGAAATCCAGAGGTCAAGTTTTCAATCTGAAGGAGCCCTCAGTCACCTCACCCTCCCTTCCACTTCTCCCCTTCCGTGACCCCTCAACTCTCACCCATCCTGATGAAAGATGTTGATGAAAATGAAAGACAGAGCCAGAGCCTTCCAGGACCCAGACGAGACAGTTCATCTCAGTCAAGTGGCGTGTATTCAGCCATCTGGACGTCCCTCCCGAGTTGTGAGGGCGGCGTGTTGTTTTGAGAGTTTCAAGTCACGGTCGGTAACCTGAATGCACCTTGGATTTTTTTTCTCTTGCCGTTTTCCTGTAGGAAGAGGCCTCATTTCGTGCTCCATGCAAAAGTAACACAGTTTCTCTGACATGCTGCAACCGCCCATTATAAATCTACACACTTTACTATGGGCCCTCAAATCTATCAGCCTGAGTGCTTTGAGTCTGGGTGCCACATAGTGACATGCAAGGAGGCGAGTTGGGGGGGTGGGGGGGGGGCACTCAGTCACGCAAGCGCTGCCCCGCTCCTGGACCTCAGCCTGATTTTACTGCAGCCAGCAGGGAAACCAGACGCTACAAAGGCCCCGGGTCCACCTCAACTTCACGAGCAAAGTTACAAGGAAATAAATCATTTTGGGGATTTATGAAAAAGGAGAAGAATGGAGAGGGGGTGCAAGGAAGTGGGCTGCCTTGACCCAAAGAAAACAGCAAAACAGGGGTGCGAATACCGTGAGAAAGAAAGCAAGAAAGGTCAGATTTTATCTTCATGGTAACTTCCAGTTGATAAAAGCCAGTTATATAAGTGTACATTTTTATTAAGTTCAATAAATGATAAATCTAGTTAGTTATATTTGACTAATCATATTTCCTCCAGACACGCAAGCTTCCAGGAACAAGACCTCAAAGCTTTATAGGTCATTGGAGATCGGCAATTTGTTTTTTTACAGGGCAGGATTCATTCCAGACATTTAATAAAATACACGCGAAGCCATGTCTGTTGAAGTAACCGAAGTACGCCAATCATAAAACAAAATCTATTCACACGTTGGCCGTGATTAGGAACAGTGTCATTATTATTGTTCCTGTTCTACTAAAGACTAACGATCTCCAAGCAATGGAAACTGAAGCTAGACGTGGTGGAAATGTTTCACTTTTCCAAGAATCATTTCCTCGGTCGGGCTGAATTTCTGCATCTTTCCAAAGAGCATACCGCAAAATCCACCTGTGATTTCTCTCTCTTTTCTTTTTGGAGTATCACATGGTGTATTTTGTCATTAAGCTGTCTTACAAAATATGAGGATGCATCACAATGTGTTGCTGCTTCTCCAAACCACTTCTGTTCACGTGGTTTAAGAACGAGCAATTAAAAGTGCGTTCTTAGTTTCCCTCCACTAAAAGGGAAACCGACATGTGTTAAAATATTACTCTAGCCGCCACATTTTCACTCATGTTTACTGTTAAAAGACAGTTTTATAGGATAGCGTGAAAACTGAACATTCTTCACTCATCTAATTTCTAAATAATGAAGCCAAAATGTTCCCAGAAGCCTCGACACAAGGGGCTTCTGTTAATATATGTCTTCATTCATTTTTTCAGGAAAGCAAAATCTCAGTGTGGGAAACAGATTTTGGATTTTGTAAATTGACGAATTAAAAGCTGTGCTGTCGATAATTGGTTCAAATAAATCTAAATATCTAGCTCTTGAAATTGACATGTTTTCTGCAGTGAGCTTCACCATCAGTGATCTCAGTTACCAGAGGAAGACTCTTCTATGGGGCAGCTATAGCAAACACAGGTACATCACAGAAGCCCGCTGTGTTCTGCATGAAAGGCCTTTTTGGGGGCAACACAGATCAGACGTGTATGGCAGTAATTACCCCAGTTTCTGGCTGGCACGCTGCGGTCATTTAGAAGATTAATCGGTCATGGACAAATAAACAGAGTTTGCTCTCTGAATGTAACTCACCAACCTTACAGTTATGCATATTAAAAACTACCCTGGTGTCCAATTAAGATACCTTTCACTTTATTTCACTTTATTTCTCCATACAATGTCAGTTTCATTCATAAAAGCATTTCAATATTTTTCTGAAGGGCTGCATACGCCACATTCCATTAAATAAATACAAAAAAGTAATAGCAAAGAAAAGAGACATCTGTATATCTATATTGAATAACATTATATAACATGATTAATATTTTACAATTGAATGAACTATAAACTATGAAATTAAAATGTAAGATCTTTATCACATCAAGTATAGCCTTTTTAAGCAAAACATAGATTAATATAAAAGTACATAATTCCCGATCACTCTTATTCATTTAATAATTGTAGTTTGCCTAGATACACTTAGATACAACGCAAGTTAACTACAGCCATATAGCAGGAATAGTTTCAACATAGTAGCGTGCCCTCAGGCCTCTTATCACTGTAGGTAGCCATGAGCTCATTTCTTGTTAGCCAGTTAAGGCTCCCCGCACAGTGGATACTGCTCTCTGTAGGCACAAGGTAATTATCTGCAGGCACGCAAAGCGCTAGCTCGGCCCCCAACAGTGTGTGAGAGGCACTCACACTTCCGCTTCATTTTCTCTGCGTTTTGCCCATCTTTGCTCCATATGAAAACTCCATCAGTCATGCTTTTCTTTTTAAACATTTGCACTCTGCATTCCAATGTATACATCTTTGATTTAGGAAATATATTCTGAGTGAATCACAAGCTTTACCGCATGTTTCACAGTGAGTAAGACAGGGCTTCTTATGAGTCACCCGCCTAAATGATTTCCAGGAGATTACTCCATGTCCTGTGACAGTGCTTGACTCATTTTCTTAAAGGAAGGTAATCCAGATTAGCTGGGAAATCAGGGATACAAAAAATTGAAATGCTAATTTACCAGAACCCCATTCAACAGAGGCTCTGCTTGACTATACAAAATAAAATGCTGCCCTCTTGTGTCAAAATAAGCTCAGGCCCAAAACACTTTCTGTCCCCACTTGAAAAGCATATGTGTTATCAATGAGGAGGCTTAACAACTGTGTTTGATGTAGCTGTGCTTCTCATGGTGCTTGTTGAAGACATGGAGCTTCTGTCTTCTCCAACAATCTTACTGGATCTGAAATAGTAGATGGCAAGGAAGAAACCTGCAAAAACAAACGTAGAGGGGTTAAAATCATTGGAAATGTGTACTTGCAGAAAGTTTGTAGTTCAAATGGCTTTGTGATATTTAGGAGTCTACCTTGAAAGGAGTTGAGGATGGTGAAGATATAGTATGAGGGCTTGAGCATAGGTCCGTAGCTGAAGAAAGCAAAAGCCCAGGTGATGCCAAACAGGAGGAATAGGCCTAGGATGGAGAAGAAGTTGGTCCTGAAGGAGCTGCTGTCCTTGGGTTTTTTCTCTGCCGGTTTAAGAAGAACAATCTGCCGCAGAGTAGCGATGAACATGACAAAGGTGAAGATGAACACTACAGCGTAGTACCCAATGTTCACCACCTGGTGGATCACAGCATTTGGGATCCAGCACCTGTAAGTCAGGAGAAATGATGCACTAGTGAGTGAACCAAATCTCTCTTTCTGAATAAGAAATGATCCTTGGCCGTCAGTAAGAGCTCCTTACATCTTTGCTGTATTCCCATCATCGGTGTAAATGGCGATGAAATCGTATTGACTTGAGGCGACAAGAGCTAACACCACTACAGCTGGGGTGACTGAAGAGAAAGTGTACATAGTGTTATTATGTTAAAGGAATAATTCACCCACAACATGATGATATTACTTTGAATTTTTGAAGAAAACCTCTTTTTTCAACAGTGATCCAAGAATCCAAAAACAGAACAAAGTCTTAATGGATTTAAGTAAACGGGCCCGTCTTTAACAACAGCAAAACTATATCAAAACATTGGTTTAAAACCTTTAACTGAAGTGCATATAATCCATCTCTAATTTATCCGTTTTTATGCTCACTTCTTTACAAACATATGCATTTTCACTAAAACCTTACTAGGTTAAACACTTCCTCATAAACAGGAAGTGTACAACAACTCCAATTGCGCAAGAGTGCTACTTTTCCGAGTGTGTTGCATATTTCTTTCGACTTTTGTCTGTGTATTTATTGTATAGGCAAGCCAGAGAATAGCAGGCAACATTGGGTAAGTAATTGGCATTTAAATAGTTATATTGTGGGTGAGATATTCCTTTAAGCACATATAATTGTTATGACTGGTTCGGTGTTCTTACCCCATCCCGCGGCGCTTATCTTCCTGATGTAATGTTTGATGTCAGTGGGAAGCTTCCACATAATGAAGTATAGGTGAAGAGCTTGCATGAAAAACCAGGTAAAGGTGGCCAACATAGAATAGTGCATAACTGCTGCGATTGTTACGCATGCGGCAAAGTTTCCCATTGCTGCAATACTCTCATTTACCAGGAAGGTCAAGTTCAGGGTGATCAAAGCTACAAAGAGGTTTATGAGAATCTGTGTTGTTTGGCTTGCTTTCCCTTTCCTGTGGAAGGAGGAAGTTCTATGTCAGGAAAAGCCTTTAATATAATGATGAAAAATGTAAAATTCCCCTCTGGTTCTTTACCTGATTAGACAATGCATGAAGAGAGCGAGTGTCAAGAAAACTATGGACAGGCCACAGCCGATTGAAGTGATGGTGGTCAGAGTCTTAAAATCTGTAGAGCTCATGTTCGTAGGTGCAGGTGACTGATTCAGAGAAAGACGTGTTACGTTTTTGTGAAATAATGGAAATGGAATTACTTGTAATACGTTAATTTACCATTAGTATTGCGAAGAAGGTTAGATGAGAGCACTGGCACACGATGGTGCCATTATTCTCCTTTGTCTTACAGCCATCTGAGATCCAGTTCACTTTTCCTACAAAAAGGCAAAAGAAGCAACTGTACCTAAAGTCGTGTGACAGAAACGTGTCATTTGGTACATTTTTAAGTAGCAAAAGAATATTTTTGCTTTACCTTTTCCATCCCATGACCTACACGTTCCAATTCTTCCAGTCTGTATTCAAATACAAAAATAAACCTCAGTAAAGTCATTCTTTTATTACGTACTGATTAATTTATTAGTGGCTCAATCATCTTTTTTTTTTACCATGTTCACACCAGTGTACCGAATGTCTATGCTGTGTGAGAGATTGGATATTTCTGTTCCCATTTCAATTCCCAGCGCCTCATTGTTGAGATAAATGCTGTTGGGGTTGTCCTGTTGGAAATAGCAATCATAGTCATGACAGGCAAAGGTATTTTGATTCTTTACGTAAGTAAAAGTACTGAAACCACACTGTAAAAACACTCAATTTCAAGTGAAAGTATACTGCATCAAGAGTCGTACTTAAGCAAAAGTATACGATTAGGAAAATGTACTTAAATTATTAGGACAATAAATACTCAGAAAATAGCAAAGCATCAAATGTTTAAATTCAAAAAGCTGGAACCGTGACTGATTTTAGAACAAAGAGCAAGCAAACCAATTTTCTGTTAACCAACTCGTGGTTTTAGCTGCTTAAATATAATGTTTGAAATACAAATCTGAATTTATAAAGTAACTTGTAAATATTATATAGTTATTTGTAAAAGTAAAAAATAGCTTCCAAAATGTAGTAGAGTAGAAGTATAAAGTAGTATAAAATGAAAGTACCTCAAATGTGTACTTAAGTACAATACTTTCCACCACTGTTTAAATGTAATTATGTTATCATTATGTGTATATCAGAGTTTTCAGAAAGGTTTGCTGAATGAAAGTCATTTTTGATGATTTTTACCTCAAACATTTCTGGAAACAGTAGAACCGCGGCGAAAGGAGAATTTCCTTTCACTGCCATGGCACTCGCCTCTGCAGGGATTTGCACGGACCGAGAGAAGCCTTTCCCCGAATTATTGTTATTCTTAAGCATCTACAGAAAACACAAAAATGTTTTACCACTTCTTGGTTATCATAAAACAAGATTGTTTACAATGTTGTGTTTGACTCTCTTATCGTGACAAACAGCATACGTTCATATCTCCACTTGCTGAAACGCCAAAGTTGAGTTCGGTGTGGTTTTCTTTGGGTAGCCTGGCGATCACTCCTTTAATGTTGCCCACTCGGATGGATGCTGTGCTTGAGTTGCCCATAGTATCCACCAGGGAGGAGAGATTATTCATGACTTTTCTGGAATGAAAAAAACACACATGTTATTTCTTCTTGCTAGCAAACTCTGATCATCATCACAACTTCTAGCACACCAAAATGTAGAAGTTGTTGCCATCAATACTTTCAATACTTACGCTGCAGTTTCCGGGCTGTTGTTTGGAGGGGCAGGCTCAATAATATAAATGTCTGGCTTGATAATAAAATCGTCTTGCTTGTCACTTGGCTTACATAACTTACATAAATAGGTTATATTTTTATCAGACACTGTGATCTTGTACTCGTCTGTTTCTGCTGCATCTGCATTTCAAAACACACACAAGTTCATTCTCAAAACAGGAACATCCGATTTTCACTACCATCTCTCAGTTTAGTACTTTAGATTTTAAATAATAAAGAACAAAAATATCAATACCTTTGCAATCGTTTTCATCACATTGTGTCACATTTCCAGAGAAGTTTTGTTTGCTCAAATTTATATTTTGGAACCCTTAAACATATTAAAACATTACATTTGTATAAACGTGCCTTGTAAAGAGTGCTGCATTGAAAGTAATAGCTGTGGTAATATGTGCTTTTACCTGTTTTCAAGCACCTGTGAATGTCTAAAAGAAAAAATGCAACAGAAGAAAGCTTGTTAAGAGAAGAAAAATCCATTGTGTGACTTTTATTAAAGAACGTGTTGACCAACAGGGGGCGACCTCTTACTGTATTTGTGTGCACATACTCTATGACATAGACTATGTAATGTTTAACAAAAGCACTTTCTGTATGTGCAGCATTTACTTAAAATAATGCCAGATGCTACTTTTTATATTACACAAGTATTTCTTGATTATACAATGAAGAGTAAGGTAGAGAGGCTAAATAAATCACATTGGAAGGAGGTTTTCAGAAATACCTAAATATGTGTTGATCTCCGATGGCATACATGTATAGTTATAATCTGGTACAGTTATCACAACAATATTTTGGTTGGAAAGAATGTCTTTATTCAGAACCAGGCTGTAGTTTTCTCCTGTGCCAGTTATGGTAAAGTTGCAATTGAAGTCTTCTGGAACACAACACTCTAAAAAGATAATACACACACATGTTGACCGAATGACCAAGAGAAACAGTGGTTTTGTACAGTGGACTCAAGTCAGGCTGAAAGTAAGGGAACTGTACCTGTATCCACTTCGTGCATTCGGAAACATAATTTAGTTCCATTGACCTCAACAACCCCTGAAACATGATGTGAAACCACATTTTACTTTAAGTTTCTTTAACCCCTTTAGTTGCAAACATTTATATTTCAACAATGCCATGCTTACCAGGTGAGAATTGTTTGTATCCCGTTTTGAAACTAACAAACAGGGTATTTTGGAGACTGCAAGATTCTTTATTGTTTGTAAAGAAAAATACAATATGATAAACATTAATCCATACAACAGATGATCAAAAGTGTCCAGAAATATATACAAAACAATTCAGTTAACTTTCATTAAGCGTACTCACCCGGGCTGACGCTGTTCTTGATGTATAACCCATAGAGCATGACTGCTACAAACATCCAGCGGAGCTTAACATCCAGTGGTAACATCCTGAGGAGTAATAAAGTATATTATTATGGATTATGTTATCTGAACATTACCTTAAGATATCCTAAGTGCACATCAGAGTATCTTCCGTTACCTGAGTGAGGCTGTTTACCGCATTGCCACTACATTACATGTACCTGAACGTTATAGCACTGTTGTTCTTCCTCTTGATTTACCTTGCAAATACAGGGCGGGTTGAAAATGTGTCTGTTATTTTCACTAAACAGCTGGCAGCCTTCCACATTTAGCTGTGGGCTGAAATTAAACAAAGTCACTGTTGGTTGATGAAACCACCAGCAGCACATTCGCCTAATGTTTTTCCCGTGTAACAATCTATTACTTCGCCATTACATGTGGAGGAGCTGATGAAGGAGACTCATCTATTTGAGTTCAGAACTACAACTACTAAATAAAACTAAATAAATACAATGTTATAAGGGCATTATTCTTACTTAATTAAAGTCAATTCAAGTATACTTAAAGTAACAAAGGTCCATTTCAGAATCAAATATATGAATCGACTAGATTAGGAGTGTTGGTGCATTCATATATATATTTGTTTTATTTCAATGACTTGGTATGGATTCTTGATATCTTCAACTAAAATGAAAATGTTAATTGATTTATCATTTATTTTATCTCATAATGTGAATCTATAAATTGACCAGTAACTGCCAAATTGTGAATTAATCTATAATATACCTTAAATACTCAGGTGGAGTACAGGTACCTTAAATGTACAGTACTTGAGTAAATGTACTTTATTACATTCCACCAGCTGCTTTAAAGGCTGTTTAACTAAACATAAAGACTGGAAACAGCAACACTGGTTCTGTCTAGAAATAAATGATCTTGTTTGAAACTCATGTAAAGACGCCTTATCTGGTTCAACCAATAATACAAGACAGAGCACAAAAGCTGCAGTGTAGTTGTTGGCAATAAACATCATAAATGAAGGGCCCTGCCAACAGAGCAACATTAGATATACTTCACACAAAAAGAAAGAGGAAGTCAAATAGTTCCAATGCGAGTGATTTGATTGGTACAAGTGAAATTAAAGAATAAGTAAGCAATATAAGATAAGACAAGATACAGTAAGAGGTACTTTATTGATCCCAAATTGGGAAATGTTTGTGTCGCAGCACAATAAAAAACAAATCAAGGAATTTCACATAAGTAGAAATTAAAGAGTAGAAATAAACAATACTTGAAATTAAACATCTCAAAATAGAATTAAAACAGCATTAAAAAGTAGGAAAAGAAACAGTAGACTGTGAAGATAACAAATCTATAAACTCTGACAATATAACCCTATTGAAGTGCTACAGCAGGATAGGTGTGTTGAATTAAATATAAATGTGAAATGTACTGTGTGTCGAGTTATCCAAAGAGAAGCTATCAGTGAGTTCTCTGCCAGCCAGAGGTGATTTGTTGTACAGAGTTATTGCAGTAGGCAGGAATGTTTAAATGTTTGAATTTAAAAATAGAATTAGTGAAAGCACAGTTTTGGAATACAAATTGTGTTTGATGTCTACCTGAAGCGTAATGGAAAAGTCGCATGCAGTTAAAAGATAAACTCGTATACTGTTGCCTCATATGCAAATGGCATAAACAAATGACTCTCACAGCCGGCCAGGTGGACCCAGCAAGGAAATGAGATAGGGATTTGATAAGATAAATGTTTGCATGTGCATGTTGTGATAATAGGAAGTGGGAGAATTTTTCCACCACAACAGTGGCTCATTTGTGTTCTTGGTTTATCGGGTAAATAACCTGAGCTGGGCCAGGAGGAATGAGGTGCATTTTTATTTTGGAAAATGTGTTGATGCTGCCCCCTGGTGAAATATGGGATAATAATACTCCTGGTATGTTTCTTGACACCATTCAGCACAGTATTTAATACAACTAGCTCTTTTTATTTTGGACAATCTCTGGCTCAATAGCCATGAACAAACAGCACTATAGATTCAACAAAAAACTGGACTGTAACGGACCATAAATTGAAGGATGACCGAGCCTTTAGGGGAACAACTGGAGCTGCTCTGTGGTTGTTAACAGGTTGATAATGCCATTACAGCCAGCCTGCTAGCCTGCTGAGGCAATTACAGCCCCATCAGCTGCACTAAACACATTTAAGACCCAATGGCCGTCTGGATGGACCTGCTTGGATTTATTGATGGAGTTTTTATTGACAGTTTGGAGTTAACACAAGGTATTGAACCATGTGGTCAGTCTGGTGATGTCATTGTTATCCTCATTAATGGCTTTAGTTGGTTGTTATCGCTGCGTAATGTGGACATGTGAGAAAACAAACGTCTCTCTCCATTAAACAGTCATTAGCTTAGTTTGTCACGTGAAAGCAACTTGAACAGCCATTAGCGATGCTTGGTGTTAAGGGATTTGTGTTTTGCTTAGAGATGCACCGGTTATCAGCTCGATGCCGACTCAAACAGCTGGATTGGGTACCGTATGCCATTCATTTCATTGTAAAAGGAGGGAAGTCTGCACATTTGAGTGGCTGTAAACAGCTTTGTGTTCAAATGTGTCTATGTATTTTATTTGTTGTCTATGCATTCATTCTATGCATTCGTTACATTTTGTTTTCCAAAGTTAGGAAATCAATGTCTAAGTCAAGCCTGATGTTGCATTAAAAATAAAAGAGCCAGTCTCTGCCACTCAGAATTCTGTTTCATTTTTTTTTACTGAAAAAGTCAGATTGGTGCATCCCTAATGCTCTTTGTTCTGCAAGCAGTCCTTAATAAATAAATCTGTTTCCTGGTGTGAGGTGAAAGATAATTAGAGCCGTTTCTCAGCTCTGCACTGCAGGCTCTTCACTGTGTTGTTGTTGTTTTTCAGGAGCCGTTTTCATGGTTTGTTGCACGGTGCTGTGAGGATGGAGCCACGGGCTCAGTGCCGTATGGCAGATGAATATTTGATGGCCCCTAATGGAGCCATGGCCCCCCTAACATAGCTCTGTTTTTTCCCACCACACGCTTCAGAGGACTGTGGTGGAGCTATGTGGTCGCCATCCATTTTTGCGCTTCCCTGGTGAATTTGGTCTCGCCATGCCACACAACAGCTGTCCGTGATTTCATCATACCGATCCGGGCTTACCAGGCCGACAACTGCTGGTGATGCTGGAGCTCCAATGCTCCAACACAATGTACCAAATCCCCACCCCGATCACCCACCCCTCACATGCAGCTCCTCGCCCTGTGCGTGAACTTGTCCTCACCAAGGTCAGCAGATCACCTGCCATGTATGACAGAGGGACAGCCTCATGTTACATATATACATCTGGATACGTGTGTCAATATGTATGTCCACTGGGTACAAAACATCAGCATCAATCCTGTTGAGGAGATTAAGATCTTAACGCTGGAGCGATACGATCCAGCCTGTCGTTCTAATTAGAAAAGTGACAGTGAGGCAGAGCAGCTATGTATTAGCTCGGTGACCTCATCCTCCATACAGCACAATCCATATCTGACAGAGCGCTACCTCCCACTAATGTTTCACTACAGGCCTGTTAGTGTAAGTGGATCTCGCAATCAAAGTGTTTGGGAGTCTTAAGAGTTTCAGAAGAAGGGTGTGAGGAAAAGGAGGAGTGGGCTCGGCCTTGTGCTGGAATGTTTATCAGAGGTTGTGTGTGTGTGTGTGTGTGTGTGTGTGTGTGTGTGTGTGTGTTCAGGGCACCTGTTTACGCTGTCGTTGCATGTTTGAGCCTGTTTACACACTCTCAAAATCACAGCTGCCCCTCACATTACACAGCTATTTCTGATCTGCTCATTCAGCCAGAGGCACGGGGGTCAACACTTTCTTCTTTATAAGATACACTCGCATAGCAACCGCACAAATCTAATCCGTTATGTGGGATCTTCAAATGTACAGCCCAGTGTGAGCAAGTGTGTGTGACTCTTTGTTCACCTTATGGAATGTGTGTCGCCTTGCACCACCGGGACTGATGTGGTGCAGTGTTGAGCTGACTGATTGCTTTACAGTTGAATGTAAAACTTGATCTGCATGTGGATGAGAAATGTCATTGCGGATATACAATCAGTTTAACACAGTTCGGCTCACTCTTCTGTTACCTAACCATAACAGCGGACACCTCAAGTCTTTGAACAATTGTTTCAGAAATATGGAGGAAATATAATTGATGCACTCTGGAGATTCTGAATAGCAGAAGACAAGTGGTCAAATGTCTCACATACATTTTTAATTTCTTCTCTTTTACAAGGTCACAGGTGGCAATCTATACTGTCTCCCTAGCCCTTCACCATCGAACCAAACAAACAAATGGACAGACACGTAACTGCCAGAAGTGGAACGTCTTGTCTTTGTGGTTGACAGTAAAGCATTCGTCATCGTCCTAGAGTTACAGTACACTCCCTCAGGGTCACCTTGGCCATGGGTGGGAATTAAGTGATTCAAGATTCCTGCGCTTTAGTGCTGGTTCAGACCAAAACTGAAAAAAGATACACAATCACAGGTTTTTTCTTATTGCACCAGATACGGTCTTATTGCATCAATGAGACTCACACATTATGTCCCTGTTTTTCACATGGGCTCTTTCTTGATAGCAATACTATTGAATGACTGCAGTCGCACATGATTTTGTTGACATATTAGTGTCCTCATTTTAGATTTTGGATAATCGCTCTTTAAATCTGAAAAATATTTTCAAAAATGTTTTTAGGAGAGAAATGTGATATAAATCAGGCATTGAATGATATATAAACAACCTCTATAAGAACAATCAGAATATAGTTAGCTACTGTATTGGAGATGTCAGGCTCAGAGTATAATAGAAAAACTGATTTTGAGAAAATGTAAAGATATGTATTGCAAAATGTTGCATGACAGAAAGAGTTAAACTATTGTTATGTTAATTATTTGCTTTATTCAAACACCCACCTCCTCCACCGCCCACCGAACCACCAGATATTCAGGCGTACCATGACATCACCTGTCTGGGGCTCGTCCCCGAGGCGCCTCGCCATTACATCAGCGTCTGCTCTATTGCGGGACGATGTCCTTTTTGTCTTCCCATGAGTCAATAACACACCTTTTCTTGCCGGTCAGCAAACCCCAGTACAGTAACCTTATCCTGGACCTCGGGCTAT